ATGAAAAATAAATCTAGATGTACATATAAGATTTGTTGGCCAAAAAAAGTTTTCTCAAAACATTGACTGAAGAGCACCACACAGCTTTGGAGGAATAGGAATGCCAGTTTGAAATAAAATGAAAATTTATAAAAATGTGTATAATAAATCACAATTCAAATAAACAAATATTGGACAAAAAAGTTCACACATTTAAATGTGTTTATTTAAATAGTGTTTTAAATGTTGTTTAATAAAATAATAAAACAATGCATTTTAAAATAACTTAAATGGATAGACAATTTTATAAATGCTTATTTAATTCATGTTTTAATCTGTGGAGTCAGATCAGTCTCAAAAATAATACATATAAAACTAAAATTCATACATGCACAGAACAATTCACATTTACAAAATCTAATTTGTAAACACACAATTCATGAATTCCCAAGTGAATATTTTCACATGAATATCATAAATATTTTCGCCAAATGAACTGGAGTTGTGCATTTGTGAGTTGTTTTGAATTTACGAATTGGATTTGTGTATTTCTGAATCGTGTTTTGAATTTCCAAATTTGATTTGCATATTTTAAAATCATTTTTGGAATTTCCCAATTGGATTTGCGTGTTTTTAATCGTGTTTTGAATTTACAAATTGGATGTGGATATTTATTTAATATTTTTTGAATTTACAACTCAGATTTGAATATTTTTTAATCCTTTTTTTTTTTATTTATGAGTATAGTTTTGGAATTTACATATTGGAATTCTATATTTTTAATTGATTTTTGAATTGATGATTTGGATTAGCATATTTAAAAAAACGAAATTAAATTTATGAATTAGATTTGCACGTTTGTAACAGTTTTTTAATTTATGGACTGGATTTGTTTTTGAATCATGTTTTGAACTTATGAATTGTATTTGTATATTTATAAATCAAACAATAAAAAGGTATATTTGTAGATAACAATAAATTTGGCAATTGCACACGTGTTTACATTTTTTTTTACAGTATTTTGTTGTACAGTGCTCTTTTTACACCTTGCATTACAGTAATAACTGTAAACTAATCAATATTACATAAAATATTCCTAATCCTACTGCATGTTAATTATTTTCACTGTAACCGGCGTAATTCAGAAACAATTCAGAAACAAAATGTTGTTTTGCTATAAGGCTTTTAATGAAATTAAAAATAAATCCAGATGCACATATTAGACTTGTAGAATTTTTTTTTAAATAACCCACTAAATATAGACAAAAGAACATCTCACAACTTCCTCGCATCAGAAGAAAAAGACAGAACAGCACAGAGAAATATCAAAGTTTTATTTTAAAATTTATAATAGAGGAACAGTAGTACAATTGAAAGAGAAGGAAAAATGTATTCATTTAAATTCTTGAAAAAACATAAAAAGAATAACCTGATTTGATTTGTGTTTGAGGTGAGACCGTGGCCCCGTTTGCATCACTGTAAGAGTTGAAAAATACATCTTTGAAACAGCTTTTACAAAATACAGCTGAAAAAAACCTTCATCTGTAGTGTTTTTTTTTCTTTTTTGTCTGTTATGTCCATTTACAGCATAAGTTTAAGGAGTACATTAATGTGAGTTGAACCGACACACAGACAAAACAAGAAAAAACTATAAACCGACATGATGGTGAACGTGCACATGTGAACAGACTAAGAGAAAAGTCGGTGTGTGAACAGTGAAAGCCAGGCCGAGGTTTTAAACTGGTTAACTGCAGCAGTGTGCCATCATTTAATTCAGCTAATTAAATATCTATATTTCATAATCTTTCATATATATATATATATTTTATAGTATATAATATCCCTCCCACAGTGATCTGAAGGTAAGTAATACAAACAGGATCTTCTATACAGCTTTTAAAATACACTTTCATCTCGAGTAAAGGGAAAGATAGACGATTTCTGTATCAGTATAGCACTTCAATATATCCACTGCATATGAACAGAAACTCCTGCTCCTAGGAATAAACCCACAAACAATTTTTCTTAAAAAAAATGTGCTTAAAATGAAATAGAAACAACACAAACGAAATAAAAACTCGAAAAGGAAGGACAAATAAAACAATATATGCATCTAAGGGTAAAGTGAATGATTGATTTCAGAATAAAAACATTTCAATTTGACAACATACACAAGCAAGGATCTACGCTAAATATTAACCTGGTTTTCTTATACATTAACAATTAAAACAATGATTTTGGTAGGACAAATAAAAATTAACAGTCTTGATTGCATTTTGGAGTCAATACATATATATTTATAGCATTAAATAATGAAATGTCAAAAAAACAAACAAAAAAAAGCTCCGTATGGAATAAAACACAACAGTTTCTAATTATTTCCATTCAGACCGGCTTTTGGGAAATAAGAAATAATCAAACGCAGAACAGTAAGTGCCCGTCTATGCGTTTCCATAGACCTTCCACTCTACGTCAGCACAAAGAAAGTGTTTTCCACTCAGCAGACACACGACAAAATAAACGAAATGATCGCAACAAATGTTACGTGGGGGGGGGGAGATCAAAAACAAAGTTTGGGTGTCTATTGCAAACCTTTCCATCTGCATTCTTTAGGGAAAAAACAAACAAATAAAACATTGTTACACAGGTCGTTCAAGTGATTCAAAGTAAGCTCAGTACCACTAACCAACTCAAGAACATCAGGTCGATCCATCTATACAAGTACTGCCAGTAGTTTAACAACAACAAATGGTATGTATGTGTGTGTGTGTATGTGCATTTCATAGAAAAGACGTTAAAAACAGAAAGCATACCTGATAGGCTCTTTAGCACAACAGTGTAAAATACAAAGCTGATTAGTATAACTGAGTCGAGTAGGCTTTACGATTATTAACATCATATACAGCTCGTAGGTCCAGTATTTTAAAAATAATAATAAAAATAAAAAGCGTTACAGCACCAAACGTTTTCCATCATTTGGCAAAAAATTCAAGCTTTAAGTGAATGTCAAAATGCTTTATAAAGTGTTACTGTGATGCTGTGATTCAAATAAAGCTAGCAATAATATATTCCCCTTATATTTGAGTCTTTTTTTGTCTTTTTCTTATATCTCTCTGCTTTACGTTCTCTCAGCATTTTCAGTAGTTTTGTGTCCTGCGAAAAAATCTTGGTGTGCGTTCTGCTTGGCACGATCTAACAGCCCCGTATAACTTAAATCATAAATATGGCTGTGGTCAATTAGTCTCACAAAACAGATTTTTGGTTCCAAGATTTGTGCAGGGAAAGGAAAATATATATATATATATTTGTTATATATATCATAAAGTTTCATGACAACATTAAACTAGAAAGGAAAAACACACAGAAAAAAACATTTCTTCCTGTAGGCGGAATTTCTATAATGCTCCTTCTTTGTCGAGATCCTATGGAGCCAGATCAGTCCCAAAAATAAAACATTTAAAAAATAAAATTCATACATGCACAGAACAGTTCACATTTACAAAATCCAATTTGTACATCTGTAAACAGGCAATTCATGAACTCACAAGAGAAAATCATAAATATTTTCGGCAAATGAATGGCAATTGTGTATTTGTGAATTGTGTTTTGAATTCACGAATGGGATTTGCTGTTTTTTAATCATTTTTTGAATTTATAATTTGGATTTGTGTATTTTTAAATTTCTTTTTTTATTTACGACTTGGATTTGAATATTTTCAAAAAAAAAAATTAATATACGAATTGGATTTGTGTATTTTTTTTAATTAAATTAACGAATTGTATTAGCAATTTTTAATTTTTTTTTAATTTACAAATTGGATTAGCATATTTTTTAATTGTGTTTTGAATTTACGAATCGGATTTGCATATTTTTAAATTGCGTTATGATTATACGAATCAGATTTTCGTATTTTTGAATCATGTTTTGAATTTACGAGTTGGATTTGCGTATTTTTAAATTTTTTTTATTAACAAATTGGATTTGCATTTTTTTTATTCATCTTTTTTGAATTTACACATTGGATTTGTATATTTTTGAATCGCCTTTTGAATTTACAAATTAGATCTGCATTTTTTAAATTGTGTTTTGAATTTACGGATTGGATTTGCATATTTTTAAACTTACGAATTAGATTTGCGTATTTCTAAATAGTTTTTTTAATTTCTGAGTTTTTTGAACTACTAATTGGATTTAAATATTTTTTAATAGTTTTTTTGAACTACTAATTGGATTTAAGTATTTTTATTAGCTTTTTTAATTTACGAGTTGGATTTGCATATTTTTAATAATTTTTTAATTTACGAGTTGGATTTGGTTCTTTTTAGTAGTTTTTTTTTTATTTCCGAATTGGAATTAAGTATTTTAGATCCTCGTTTTAATTTACGAATTGGATTTGCGAATTTATGAATTATGTTTTGAACCTTTCAATTGAATTAGCATATTTTTTAATCATGTTTTGAACTTGTATATCAGATTTTTTAAATGTGAATTGTGTTGCGGATATATGAATTTTATTTAGTAAATGTATTATTTTTGAGACTGATCTGCCTCTACAAGATCCTCCTTTAGAGCAACATATTATCAGGAAGCGCAGTTATAAACTGAAAATAAGCAGATGTACATTTAAAAAGAAAAGAAAACAAAAAACTAATTCTACTGTTTCATAAGACCATAATATCTTTCTTCATAAATTAAATAATTAATATTTCTTTTAATATGATTGGCCTAACTCAAAAAAACTAAACTCTGTACACCCTCATCCCCTACAAAAGAAAAACAAAATACATCACAGAAAAACCTGATTTTTTTTTGTTATATATATATCATTATACCTCTTTCTCTGACACACAGAACAATCTTTAAATATTGGAGTCCCTCTCTAACAAAGCTATAGATCTCTTTGACATAACTTCACGTGCAACAAAGAGGTTTGATAGCACTTTGGAATTGTTGATTGTTTCCCAGCTATATTTTTTTTACTTTGCATTTTGATTCGTGTTTCTACCAGGTTATGTCTACATTAGTCCTTCACGGGGGTGGCACCAGCATCACCCTCGCAGTGGGATTGGTCAATCTCATTGGGCTCCTCCCCTTCTGCCTCCATGTCCTCGTCCCCTTCTCCGGCTTCGTCGAAGTCTTCATCGCGGGCGAACTCCAGGTCCTGCATGCCCTCCAGACCCTCCTGCGTGCCCTGGTGAGAATCGGCACACTCCACACAAACGCCGTAGCGTCGCGAGCCGTGCCGTATGCCCACGCTGGCCGCCAGCATGAAGATCTTCTTGCATACCATACATTTGTATTTCTTATCCTTTTTGTGCACCTAAAAGTGAAAGTCATAAATGGGGAGATTGGTGAGTGATGCAAGACGCATTGGTATTATGAGTGAAATGAATCAGCAAGAATCTCTGTCGCGTGTTTGTGACCCTTGAACAAAAAAAAACTCATATGGCTCAATTTCACAAAACCATCATATGAACAAATTTACATCAACTGAAAACCGAATAAACAAGCTTTCCATTGGACAAACATTCCATTTGTTAGAATCGGACTATATTTGACTAAGAAACACCTATTTGTATATCTAGATTGTATGGCATAAATAAAAATTGTAAACATTGAGATATAATTTTTTTTTTAATCGTAATATTGAGCAAATTGCGTTTAAAATGGTCCAAATTAAGAACTTAGCAATGCGATTTAATTATCAAAAATTACGTTTCAAATAAAATTTGTAATGACTTTTTTTTCAAAGTGATTTTAAAACTTAAAACATATGCAGAAGCTGGAAATATATTTCCTTTGATCCATACATGTACACATAAACTGTCTTATAATCACTCTTTAGTAAGACATGTCATATTCTTTTTGTTTTTTTAACATGTGTTTAGATATCCAAGTAAAATAAACCTAATTCATACATTTAATCAGGAGTTTTCTTTTAAAAAAGTCCTGCCGTTATCAGCGCGCAATGATTCTTGGGACGTTCGAGGCCGCGAAGATTCAAGTGGTTGTGTCCTTCATTTCTTGAAAAACGAAGGATAAATTTTGAGGCTGCGTTTGAAGGAGCCTTCGAAATTTTATTTTATTTTTTTAAATGAGACAGCCTTCGTCGTGCCACAATGCACACACTTTTAATGGATCCTTTGGAGGATGAGGCCTCTGAAATGAGACACAGCTATTGTTCTTAGATTTTATAACAGTTCTAATTTAAATCCTGTTTACACCGATTTTTATTACTATTCACTTTACTACTACTATACAATACTATTGTAATATGTACAAGATTATCTGTTCATATATATATATATATATATAGACATTACCTTTTTTAATTACCGGCCACTGTGTAGTTTTCCAATGTTACTAGCCACTTTGCATTTTCACTAGCTATAATTTTGTTGTTGGGAAAATATCATTTATATGCATAAATATGACTTTGACATACTAAAATACTTGATTTAAATTTTGTGTTATGTCTGCATGTTTTCTCATTCATTTAACTTTTTGTGTGTCGAGTATGAGCTTGCTCAATGAGCATGAGCAAATGGGTTGTGGTTTCATAGTGTTATATTGCAATTAGTGTTTATGTTCACATGACACTTCAGAGCTCAAAATTAAGGATTAACAAAATTTATCTCTATAACCACACTAAACAATAATTATTTCTTAGCCACAAATTTTAAATGGGTCAAAACAAGCTAAATATAGCTGTATACTATGCTTTTTATTTAAAAAAAAAAAAAAAATTCTTAAAAAGAAAGAAAAGCAATTAACTTTTAAAAAATAACTATTGTCATGTATCAAAACTATGCACAGTAATCTGCCCTGGCTAAAGATCTCTCAGATCACAGCTTAACTGCACAAAAATGGAGATTTGATCTCCCATAAAAGCAATATTGTAATAAAATGGTTATTAATTAATAATTAAACAATTTTAACAAAAATAAAAGCAAATAAAACTAAGTAAATGAAAGCAGGTGAAAAAACATACCGTGTGTGATGAGGAAAGGATGATCACATGCACACAGTTAACTTTAGGCCAATTAATAATCTGTTCAAAGTGAAAGCAACCAGTGCTGCTTATAAAAATACAAATTTTGAGCGCTTGAAAGCATCAGGACTGTGGGTGCATGTTCATCACTTTTTGTATTGTCTATTTGAAAGAGAACCGATCACAGCTGCGTTTCCAGACCCTGTTCCAGAAACGGTTGCTTTACGAAAGGAAATGGGAGCGTGCACGCGTTTTAAGCGTGCATCACATCCGCTGTTAGCGCGAGTGATCATCATTCTCTCATTCGGTATTCACTTGCCTTCTTCTGCTCCCGTGATCACAATTATTTTACCTTTCGATTCTAAGATCACATTTGCACGCATATTGGGTCATCCTTATATTGTCGAACCCTGGTTTTAAGAAAACTACAATTTAAAAATGATTTTTAAACAGCCAAAGTGGCTAGTGGGATTGTCTGTCTAACCCGCCAAAGCTGAAATCTACCCGGTGTAATGTAATGTAAAAAAATATGTGATTTTATATGCTTATTTGTTTTCTTTTGAACACTCAAAACAAAAGCATCTATTATTATGAAGCCATTAGCATGCAATGAAAGCATAAAAAGAAAATCTCAATTCTCACATAGATTACATGCCATACACTGTAGAACTTGATAAGTTAACTCAAACTATTTTGGGAAACCAATAGCAGCAAACAATTTAAGTTTTATAACCAAAGGGTTAGTACTGTAAACTTATATATACAGAGTCATATACATATATATTATTTGTGTTTATATAGATAAATCGTTTAGAGTATTAGTAACAAATTTAAAGTTCAGTTAACATAATAAATTGAGTCCAAACAACTATATAGCTACTCAAATGGTTTGGTATTGCACAAGTAATTAATTGATTCATAACTCATTCAGCTTCTGTTCTGCTTATTATAATCAGGTTGAGTTACAAAACTCTTTTTTATTAAGTCAAAGTAACTTTGTAAAAAATGACGAGTTAAACTAAGGTATTTCATTTAGTGATTTTCACTGTTTGAAAAAAATGTAAGGAAAAAAAAATCTTCTAAATAACTTTTCTTTAGATGTTACTTGAAATGTTTTTAATGTGATTTACCCTCCAACAACAATTGATCTTGTGTCTTACCAGGGAATGTCTCTTGACGTGTTCTCTGCGAGTGAAGAGCTTCCCGCAGATGTCGCAGCTGAATGAACGCACGCCTGAGTGGATGATCAGGTGCCTCTTTAGTGTTCGCCGGTGCTTGGCAATGTAGTTACAGTGGGGACACTTCAGCTTATTGAGGGCGTTTTCCGGCGCTTCGCCTTGGAGAAACCACACAAACAAACAGGTTCTCAGCAGTTTTCACACCGGTTTCTGAGATGCAAGTTTTCTCCATTCACTTTATCAACTTTAATTGACAGCTTAGCAGAAATACAGCAAGTGGCTTAATGTGATAGATAGAGAAAATAAATGTCTGCATGAACCCTCAGTGTCATCCTCGCATAAAACAAAAAACTATAAACATGAAGTGAAAGTGTGCCAGTTGCCATAGAAACTTCATGCCGGAGGCCATAACTATATTAGTCTAATGCAATTTTCTACTTGTAAACAAGCTGCATAAAAAGCAAGATCTCTTTCCTTCCAGTCGCCGTTCTCCTGAACTAACATTCAAGAAAACAGCCTGATTGTTTATCTGGGTTAAACTACAGTGCGGACAAAACTGCAATCTCTGCTTTTTTGCTAGTGAAGACTCACTCAATTTCCCATGGGAGAGATGCTGTGTGACAATTAGACCAGAGCTGCCTGGAACTACTGCATGTGGGACTGGGGGGGGTGTGTGGGATCCAGCATTGTTTGAGCCAAAATGGGCAAAACAAAAGGGTCGTCAAGCAGGTTGCCAAGGGGGTGATGAGAGCCAGATCACCTGGGAATTCAATCGAAGCTCTAAACACCACCTTGCGGGGTGAAGGAGATCCCGACAGCAGCTGTGCCGTACGTTAGTGTCGGCAGGCTCGAAATTAAAGTTCAATCTGTTACTATGGGTTTGTGGGTACTTAAAATGGTTAACCATTAACCTGGATTCTCAATGTCCGGCACTGAGTAGTCATGAGACCGCTCTAGATTGTGCAAACGGCAAACTGTCCTCAATAGGCAGATTTAAAGAGATTGGTGGTAAATGTGTTCAAGGTTTTAACCACTTGACACTGACCTGAGGCCACTGAACCTAAACATAGGTTTGACACTACATTGTCTTACATCAATACTTCATGAAAAATGGCTTGTGTTTTTAGTGATTCAGTCACAACTGGTCAGCTGAGATGTGCTACACTTGGTCTTGGATGCATTATTTTGCATGAGTCTTGCGATTGAATTTTATCTAGACTCTCCTGTCTTATTTGGTCACACTCTACCTTATATTTAAAGAAGAGTTGACAAATATGATTGACTGAAAGAAGAAAGTCCTTAAATTACTAACAAGTGACAGTGACTTTAATTATAACCTGTGTATTTTGGTGCAACATAGTGTGCTGTAATCGGATGTTATGATACCTTTTTTCAAAATAGGTCCCATAATGTAGAGCATTATGGGACCTATTTTAAGAAGAGGTACCAAAGGGGTGGAAATCTTTAATGAATTGAAGATCCGATTTCAATTAAGGATGTCATGATCCGATTCCAAAATGAGTCTTGACCTACATTTTTACCATTTCTGTACAAAACCATCTTTCCAATTTACATTTTAACCAGAAATGGAGCTCTGTGCTTTTGTTTATGATTGGAATTTATGTATGAGGAGTTTTAACAGCGTCCTGAAGCCAGTCATACAACCGGACGAGACTTTAACCATCTTCAATCCAAATTAAGTGAATTCGGTAGCATATAGTACATGTGCCTTGTTTTTTTTTCTTCTGTTTGTAGCTTATGCATTCACAGGCTTACATCATTAGCTATGTTTTTATCCAAAAAAGTGAATAGAAAACTGGAATAGCACAAAATATGTGTGAAATACTGATACTCTAAACTATGCTCAAAACAACATTTCAGATGTTTTACAATGCGGTCAGCCGGCTGGTTTGTCCATTCACACATTTTGATCATCACATGATCTTTTATAACAAAATCGCATGACTTTTTTAATGTGCATACTGGAATTTGTTTGGTAAAAGAGTTTCCATCATAGTTTCTGCGCATCTTATGGAATTAAAAGTTTATCCTACTCAGTTATGCACATACATTTTTATGCACATTTTCAATATTTATGCGCATCTTGGCATTTCCATCAAATTTTTTTTATGCGCATATCCAAAACGTGGATAAAAATAGGTGGATGGAAACAGCTATTTTGATCTAAAATAAATACAAAATCGATTTTTAACTTTTGAGAATTGATTCAGAATCATTAGAGAAAGAATAGCGATGCATCATTGAATACTATAATACTGATGTGTTAGGTCACTAGCTATAATTCCATCCACTTATTTTAATGTGCATTTTGGATATGCGGATTTTAAAAAATGGTTAAAGGAAATGCCAAGATGCGCATAAACTTTGATAACACTTAAAAAACCTATGCACATTTTACCGAACAAATTCCAGTATGCGCATTAAAGTAATGTGATTTTGATCATGTGATGATACAAATTTGTAAATGGACAAATTAGCAGGCTAAGCATTTTGTAAAACATCTAAAATGTTGTTTTGGTCATTCTAAAACACCTTAACCATTTCCGTATTAGTCTTATTATATTATTAATTACCTCTAGAATAGTCAGGAGCATCTGGATTCCACATCTTGCCATGTGTTCATTGCGTGTTGGCATTGTCTTATGAGTTGCAAGTAATTTAATAAATAAAGAAACGATTGTCGCAGCTTTTACCGCAGCAATTTCCATTTTTTCTTTTGATATTTGGTGCCAGTTAATCAGGAAGTGACTTTTTTGTTGTCTTTGACCCATTGGATGGACACGCTGCTTTATTCGCATGTATTTTATTCGATAGACCAGTTTTGCGTCATAGATTTAATTAGCATATTTGTAAAAATGTAAAATTCTATTGGTGTAAATGGTGGACATATGGTATAAATAAATACAGGTGTAAACAGGGTTTAAAAGGGTGAAATATTGTGCCCACTAATCTTATACATCTGGAACAACATGAATATTGTTTGATGGCGAAATTCATTTTGACTTTTAGCTAGATAAGATAATTTCATGCGACACTAGTATCCTCATGTCGCTGCTGCCAATCTTTCATGCCGTACTGTCCACTCTCACTCCAACACATTAGATATAAATCCCTGATAATTTCACGCCACTACATGTCTCTATTCGTTAAGCCCTCAAACTTGCGTAAGGCAACAACTGTAAATGTGTGTCTGTATGGGTGTGTGAAGGAGATATGATGTGTAAATAAATGGGTGAAGCCCTAACAGTGGATCATCTTACACACTGTGGATTAGCAGGCAGGCGAACCAAAGCCGTCAGATCCCATTGTAAGTACCTCTGCAGTGGGTCCACTATGCCTGGGTCAATATTTGGAATGGCAGAGATAGTTGGGCTGCATTAGCAGGATTAGGGCGGGACGGCCCCTGGCAGCACTGCACCTCAGATGAGGGAATGGGGCTGTGTATGTGTGTGTGTGATGTGTCGCTAAAGCAAATCAACAGTTCAGCTGTCCTGTTTGGAAAGGACACAAGCATTTATGGTGACCACTCCTGTTGTTTGATGTGTGAGAGATAACTCATGGGGCTCATTCTAGAGCAGCATGAAAATATTTTTTCAGGAAGTGATTTACCATGTTCAAAGGTAAAAACGCTACCTAAAAAATGTAGAAAATGTTGTTCATTTGGGGCGATTACCTTATGGCATTTACAATGTTTGTGGGTAGTTTTCTAATGCAGAACTACAAAGAAGATTTTTAGCTCAAACTGTGGTTCTTGGTCATTCATAAAATGCAAGTCTATGGCTTCTGTCACTTTGGGTAGGACTGGGAAGTTTGGCCTAAAATCAGAATCTCAATTAATTGAACATTTTAAGTCGATTACAATTATTGAACAATTATTTTATTTATCTATTTAATGTTTTTGCCTTCATAGTTCACTGACAAGTTTTGTACAGTAAATATGCTCACATATTACAAGTGAGAGATGTTTGCATGTAGGGTGCATTACTTTTAAAATAATTGGAGAAAACACACAGTACCCATCATCTACGATTCTTTATCGAACATCGACACTGAACATCTGAAATTAAAAACACACTGCCTAAAATGCGTCTCTCCGCAACACCCACCCTCGCCACCAAACTGACCAATCACAAAGCTTGTGATAGGCGTTGTTGTGATGTGTATTTAAATTTTTGAAGGCTGCGCCTGACCATACGCGTGCACTTGGCAGAAGTATAATATCAGAATAATAGAAGTAGAAATCATAATATAATAAGTAGAAATGTTAGCCTTAAAAGAGCAGGGTCACATGACTCCACACACGGTAGGGAAAGTAATTGAAAAAAATTGGCCTGGAAAAATTAAATCGATTATATGTTCTGTATGTCGATTTCCATTACTTTTCGATTAATCACCCAGCCCTAGCTTTGTGATTAAAAAAATACATGGATATTACTTCTGAGGATACAACGATGTCCTATGAAGTGAAAAGATTGATCTGTGCAAGAAACTAAAATTCTTTTTGTTGCAAATATTTCGCTTTCTACATTGTGTTTTTTACTCTCAAAAGTGAGATTTATATGCACTTCATCAATGACAAAGGGCGGTTAAAAAAGCAAATAAGTTTAACTTATAAAATGGCTCAAGGCTGATTTATACTTCTGCGTCAGGCAATCGCAGTGACCCACGGCGCCTGCCTTGCGCGTAGTCATGCATTTATATTTCTGCATGCTTTTTGTGTTGCTCTGCAATAACACTTCCAAAACGCTAGCTGGCTGTAGGTGTGTATGTTCCTCTGTGTTTTTTTTTTCTTTTCCGAACACTACCGCTAAAACTCACTCATTTAGAGGCGGGAAATGGCAGACATGTAACAACATTAACCATAAGGTAAACACAATGCAACAGTTTCCATCTAGAGCTTCTTCACGTGATTTGACACTTGTAAACACTCGCTCCAACAGGTTCGCACGGCTCTCAGCACCGCCCACACTTGCGCTACCAAGACCAAGAGCTTACTCTATGTGTCGTTGTGACATGTAGTTAAATTTTTAAAGATGTGCGCATCGGCAAGGGATATGCGACCGCATGAAGGCTGTGCAGGATCACACACACACATTCGCTTGATGAGGAAGTCTTAAAAATTAAGCAAAAAAAAAAAAAAAAAGTAAATAAAACACAAACTAATTGAAAAGACAAAAGCATGCCAACAATTTAAACCTGAAAATGTAAATATATCTTTATAGTTACATAAAATAGACATAAAACTAAAATGGTAAAATAAACATTTTTAGAATGCATTTGAAGTTTAATAACTAGAAATAAAGAAATATTGCTGACATAAAATGTTAAACTAATAAGATGGATGGTGTTAATAATTGCAATTTATTATAAATGGATAGATGAATTTATCTCCTATAAATCTATCTCATACAAATAATTTTAATAGTTTAATTTAAAAGCATTAACATAGTAAAAATGACACGAATTAAGTCACAAGCAAAAACCACTTCAGTGGAAAGTACCCCATGTGTGAAAAAGGAAGTGGCTAGTCAACATGGACCCAAGCACAAAGACGAGTGCATAAGCATATGTAGGCATGTGTAGGCAAACACACCAACACACACATGCCTTGCAGGTGCGAGCCATGAGCTCTGCACATTTAAGTGCCCTCAGGAATATGAGCTAAGTGCATTCGAGAGCGTATAGGAAGCCTGAGGGTAGAATGTTTCCCCCGCTTTACTTCATTATCCTGCATTAGAGGAGTCGGCGACGGCGAGAGAAAGCCTTTTCTCAGAAGCGCGTCACTTAAGACATGATACTATAGCACGCGCCGCTCTGCTTAATGGGGGCAGAGAGTCTGAAGCATGACAGCTCGGCAGGCTGGAGATTACGCAGGTTTTTGTGGTATGAGGCACAGGGAGGGCAGACTCCCTTAATAAGAACTGAAGAAAACGCACTGGCTGCTCTAATTAAAAAGGGAAGATGGTCTTGTGGCCTTGAGCTACACAAGGCCTAAGGAAAAGCAATCATGAAGTGAGACCTTGGTTGGCTGACGGCCACAGCTGAAGAAAAGAGATACGTTTAAAAGAATGGGCCTTCAGAGTTACAGGAGATACTTTAGACACATCAAGTTATTATCAATTACCATGAATTTCTGAAAGGCCGTTATAATATGAAGGAAACTCAATGGCACCAGGGAGCAAGCAGTAAGGCCCAATCCCAATTCTATTTTTTACCCCTACCCCTTCCTCTTGGCCCTTGAAATAGAGTGTGATAGGATTTTTAAAAATCGTTTCTGTCAAAAGCATGACGGTAAAACACGAACCCTGTTATAATTGTATTAAAACATGCTTGTTTGTTGTAAACATTCGTAATAATGAGAAAAAATACTAATTTCTAATAATCTAATAATAATAATTTCCTGACTTCTGTGTGCAGCCATTTTGCCATTGCAGATGGTGTATTCTGGGAAATTTTCTTACCTCTTGGTTTCGAGTGTGGTCGTGAAAAATCTCTGTTTAAGTGGCTATATCTTTTCCCCTTAGCCCTACACCTTCAAGCTAAAGAGAATTGGGACACCACTACCCCTTTACGTGAACGTGCAAAATGAGGGGTAGGGGGAAGGGCTAAGGGGTAGAATTGGTATTGGGCCTAAGTCAAGATTAAATTAGACTGAAGCTGTTAATATAACAAAAATGTAATGAGAATAGCTTGGACTTGAGGCAAAGTTTGCAAAGAATGAAACACTTCATACAATGTCAACACTCATTGGCTAAAACTTAAATGACAATGATAATCTTAGCAGAAAAGGAAAGTAATTGGCAAATCAACGCAGGTTTGTTGCAAATAAAAAATTTTAATAAATGCAGAAATTTTAATCTCTAATTTTATTGTTTTACTTAGTACTACGAGTAATCAGACCCCCTAGTTTTTTGCAAACATTTTTTTCACTGATTTTGTGGTGGTAATTCCTAGAAATTTGCGAACAAAAAAAAAATTATATATATATAAACTCCTCCAGGTGTGCCAGTTTTCCCCATAAGTCCAAAGACATGCGGTAGAGGTAAATTGGGTATGCTAAGATTGACTGTAGTGTATGAGTGTGTGTGTTTTCCAGTGATGGGTTGCTGCTGGAAGGGCTGCTTTAAACATTTGTTGAATAAGTTGGCGGTTCATTCCGCTGTGGTGGCCCCAGATTAATAAAAGGACTATGCCGAAATGAAAATGAACGGATGAATAAATATAAAAAATAATATAATCTAACGGTAGGGATTAAGCCAAAGATAGGTTGTAGAACTCTTATTTTTATCCACAATCTTACTTTCTCTTTCTTAGAAATCTTTCTTAGATTTCACTCCCTGGAGCATCTGACATCATGTACCTCACTCAGAACATGCATTATGGCTTCCCCTACGGTAATACACCTAAAACACGAAGTGCCGCAAAATTCGTCAATGTTCTCTAATAAACGGCAGGGAAACAGTTAAGCGAAATAATTTTTTCAATTTGGTGCATATCATAACACCAGCCGTTTATGTAAACCAAAAATAATATCCTTCAATTCGGTCACGTCCAGTGGCCATCATCTTTGAACCAATCTCCTTTATTGTAAGCTGCTTGCTTTTCTGTACGTTTCATTGCTCTGTTTGTTAGATGTTTGCTCCCACTTTTTTTTGCGATCTGAAGTGCATCAAACACATAAATTCACTCGATTTGCATCACAGGATGTCTAAACACATCTTTGCATTGACTTCACATGTAAATCACTCGCGTTTCATCCATGTCTGCTTACTGCATAAGTGGCAAAATTCTCTTCACTCTCATGTAATGTAATGATTGTGAGGCCGCAGGTGAGACGTCATTTTTTGAGAGACACTTACATCACGTGCGCTGCATGTACAGTGTCTATAAGTCATTTAAAACAATTAATTGCAATCTAAAATAAATATAATTTGATTATATTATTTGTAATTAGATGTTTTAAGAGATTGTATTATTATTTTTCGTATAAATAAATAATTTTTAATTTTACGTTTTTGTTTTTTTTTTGTTAATTTTTGTTGGATTCACCAAAAAAACTAGGGGGTCTATGTAATACTGCATCAGGCCAAAGTGTTTTCCTAAAAAATCTGTTCACTTAAGGGTCATATTTGAAATGCCTCTAGGCAGCATTTTTTGCAGAAGACCTAATTATGTAAATGGCAATATACTTAAGAGTACTTGCTAAACTTGCATTCAGGGTGTGTTCACAATTGTAATTTAGTCCTCTTAGTTTGTTTGGTCTAAAACAAAAAATGTCTGCATGTATCTGAAGCCTGTATTGAACTGCAATGACAACACTGAGCTTTCTATACTTTTATGGTTGCAAAAAAGTGGTGCGTTCATTAAGATGTCATTTGAATTGCACAAGATTTCATTTGGCACTTCAGGTTGGTTGCGCCAACAAATGTGTGCAGTTCTAACTCTGTTTGTATGGCAACTATAGTTTCTAACGACAGCAAAAATGGCATAATTTTTCCAACCCCCAGTTGGTAAGAATGTGGCACTTGTTCCACCATATTGTGCATCGACTCATCATGAACTGTTTGATCAGACTCAAAGCTGGATATAGGGTATGTTTTTCTTAATACAGCAGGCACCATATTCAAATTTATGTAAACAACCTAAGATCTAATCGAATCCCAGATACAGGCCATTTTTCTAAACAACTTGTATGGAAATCAGCTGAATGTAAACCATTTACATGCTGAAAATTTGCACAGAATGTACTCTGCATATCAAATTCACAAGTAGGGCTAGTACTATGATAGCAAGATATTTGGAGCATGGCATGACCTCTGCCTCAAGGCTGTGTATTCTGCCTCTGATAAACACTGATTATACCATTACCAAAAGGCTTTACAGAAATGCATAGAGGCCTTTGTGTGAGTGTGAGAGTGAAGTGTCAGAAACACTATTGTCATACATGACAACCCTAATGACAGCACTGAAGTATGCTGATGAGTCTACACAACAGGGTGGAACATTATTCAAATAACCAAACTCCCACAACCGGAATGAACTCAACAGAAACTTCCAACATACAAGGAAATACATTGGGGGGGGGGGCGGGCTGTGTTACTTGCTGGGTGTGTTATTCTCTGATGAAAATGGAATTGGGCTTGTTTTGAAGAGCCACTCAGACACTTGTCTTGCACAGAAGAGAAAGGCATGATGGGTAACGTACCGGCATTCTCTGAGAGGTAAGAGAAGTCCTCTCTTGTGTAGGAGGCAGACGGTTGGATGAACATGCCCTCATCAAAACCCTCTTCGGGCTCAGGTGGGATGTTGTAGACGAAACGCTTGGCGGCTTGTTTTTTCCGCCTTCCACTACCTGGCTCAGAGCGCACCTCCTGCTTGACGGTAGCCCCATTGCTGGGATCTGGGTTCCAGACAAACACCGGACCCGGTCCCTGTGGCTCCGTCTCTGTGGACTCGGACGAGTTCTCCCCACCCCAACCAGAGCTTCCCAGCGCACAGCCTTCTCCCCCAGACACTTCCACATCGCTGGGTTCATCCTTCACTTGGCCTTGGACACTGGCCTTGATGGATAGCTTAGACAGGATGCTGGTGGCCCAGAAATTGCTAGGCTTCTTGTCGGCACCCTGACAATCTTTTGCCACAGTCCGCCTCTTATTATAGTCAACCACCACAGAATCGGGGGCTTCCTGCTTGATGCTAATATTAAGGGCGTCTTTGATAAAGGCGCGACAGGACTGGACCACCTCGGTCATCTGGAGGTAACTTGCCACAGACATCACCTCGATGGCATTCTGACTAGTGAGCAAGAGGTTGCCAGAGTAAAGGAAGTCCAAGATGACAGAGAAGCCCTGCACGGCTGCCACATCCAGGTGTGTAATGGTAGTTTGGTCACAGCTCTCGCTCTTTGTCAGACAGTAAAGGGTCTTGAAGTAGCGGCTCCCGGCGACCAGGATGTTCTTGTGTGCTCTGAACACCTGACCGCTCACTACGATGTTGACATCACAGAGGATGCCACTCTTGCGCTGTTTGTCCAGCTCCTGCAGCAATTGGTAGCAGTACGAGTTCTCGTTGGGCTTGTTCCGGTAGTCCTCCACCTCCGGGCTTTCCGCGTCCTCTGGCCTTTCCATCTCCTGGTGGAGTGACAACAAACAAAAATGACAATCAGCATTAGTATACAGTGTAAACACAAAGTGAAGGGCAGGTGTACAGTGACAACTCTGACAAGAGAACTGGTTTAACAGCCTGGAAAGCTGCAGTACTGTGGAAACTATAGCGCTGTGCGCCGATAAACCCCCCTGCTCTCAGGATGCACGCACTCTGCCCTTGTTAATGCTCTTTAAGAAGAGAAATATTTGGCCATTATCCCATCCGCCATCAATCTCCATCATCTGCTCTCACAATTAAGAGAGAGAGAGAGAGAGAGAGAGAGAGAGAACCGGCTGGTACCTACCAGTGGGAGTGAATCTACACAATATATTTGTGGATTTCAAAGCAGATGTCCTAATCCATGCAGAAATTTATACCACCCTACATTTTTTCTCCTCCTACCACACAGCTGGGTTTTTTGCTGGAGTATTTCAGATTAAATCTGTTTCTCAGGGCGGAGGCCTTCCCAGCCCCCCTCCTCCACACTGCTGGGCTTGTCCTGGTAGATGGGGTTATTACTGTAGCCTGATCCAGCTACAGCAAGCCCGACCAGTAGTCAGAGTGAGAGAGAGAAAGAGAGAATATGCAACCCCATTTCTCCACACAATGCCAGTCTTTTCCTCCAGGCTCATTGTTCACTATTGCTTGCTTAGTGCTACACTGAAGCTTTGTGAAGAAAGCACTTACAATTCTCTAGCACACTTACTAGTGAAGGTTGCAAAAGACTAGCCTGAATTACAAAGTCATTACTGGAACTCAATTCAGTCATCTTTTACTGACTTCATGTTAAAAACCATGACTCATTCCAAACATGTCACTTTCATTTCATGTCTCTATTTATATCATTAAAGCACAAAAACATTAGTTAATAATAATAAAAACTATTTTATATTTAAAATAAGGCATGGCTGAATTTTAAATCACATGATCATTGTAATGTGCTGATTTGGTGCTCCACAAAAAAATATTTCAATAAATTTTTAAACCAGCCGTGCTGCTTAATGTTTGCATTCCATTAATTGGGTCACATTATATTTAACCTCTTATCTTTTAGCTGTGTACTTTAATGTGTGCATAAAATACTCCTATTTCTATATCTATCTATATTTCTATCTATCTATCTATCTATCTATCTATCTATCTATCTATCTATCTATCTATCTATCTATCTATCTATCTATCTATCTATCTATCTATCTATCTATCTATCTATATATATATATATATATATATATATATATATATGTATATATATATATATGTATATATGTAGATTTTATATATATATATATGTATATATATATATATATATATATATATATATATATATATATATGTATATATGTAGATTTTATATATATATATATATATATATATATATATATATATATATATATATATATGTGTGTAGATATATATATATATGTGTGTAGATATATATATATATATATGTAGATATATATATATATATATATATATATATATATATATATATATATATATATATATATATATATATATATATATATATATATATACACACTGAACCTATAGCAGGTTCTCTCAAGCTGCCAAAATAATAAAAGCACCATAAAAAAATTATTAAATATGACGTGTGCAAGCTATCACAGGCTTCTAATATCATAAGGTGCATCCCAAATCACACACTTATGCACTATTCTGCACCATTTTCTAGTATAAATAGTGTAAGTAGTGCGTTCACACTGAAAAATTTACCCCTAAGAATTGAGACAGCACTACAGCACCTGCATCGAGTGACAGAATATTGTGGGACTGCTGTACAGGATTTATGATTATGGATTTCAAGCGTGACGATAAAACATGTATGCAGTTATGAGTATATTAAAACATGTTTGTTTCTTGTAAAAATTCATAATAATTACAAAAAAAAATCATTTGTGGATCTCCTTACTTCCGGGCGCAACTATTAGCCGTTGTGGCTGGTGTATTCTAGGAAGTTTTCGTACCCCTTGGTTTCGAGTATGGTCCTGAAAAATCTTTGTTCGAAGGGCTATTCACCCCTTCCCCTTAGCCCTACGCCTTCAAGTTAAAAAGAATTGGTACACCCTATCCCCTGACGTGAACGCACAAATCGAGGGGTAAAAGTAAGGGGAAGGGCTAAGAGGTGGAATTAGTATTGGGCCTTATGCAATCGGTAAAATGAAGTGTGGAATGATGGACACTTCACGCACTCAATGAACGCAGCTTTGCTCACGTAGCGGAAGTGGTGGAGCTTTTGGGCACTGATGTTGGATCACTTTATTTATTTTGGATTGTGAAAGCAGTATTCTCCAAAGAGAGTGATTATACCCATGGTATTATTTTTTGGTAGTTTGTCCATTTCTGCTTAGTAAAACAAATGTTAGTGTTCCATTTGGGGCAACACTACATTCGTATACTATGCTGTTCAGTGTGTAGTGCAAAAGTACATGTATGGTGTGCCATTTGAGACACTGCAATATTACAGTTGTGTGTGAGTAGTGACTGAAATGTAATGTTTGGGTGTTTAATATTTTGTGGCTCAGTGGTGTTCATACCATTTCTCTGTTTGCTTGAGCCTCCCAAGTCTTTAACATTGACACAACCAATGGTGTGAGATGAGACTGTTTCCTTGAACAATGGCAGACATGGGCGTGATTGGGAAACCTGCTTGAAAATGACTTTTTGTGCTTCTTAAAAAAAAGTGGCTCGGCAAGTGTAAATAAGAGCTGAATGGAAAATGTATGGTTCAAGTATGTTCAAGTGGGGGAAGTATGATTGTTCAGAAACTTATTTTGGGTTATACTGATAAATATGCATCGACTTAAAATGATTGAGACATTTATTAAGGAATGAAAAATCTAATAAAATCTTAAAAAGGCAGGACTATTGTGTTCAGAGATGTCTGTTGAAGAGCAGGTTTGAAGAACGAGGATGAGGCGGAGGAATGGGGGTGTGAGACAAGAATGAACGTCCGTTTGTGGTGTCACAATGTCCCCACTATTGTTCGCCTCGGTCTATCCAGAAGGACAGAAAAAACACTTTCTTTCTCTTGCTTTCTTTCTCTCACATACGCTCACACACAGTTCATTCTTTCTCCAGATGTGCCACGTGTAAATGTGCTACAAGAGAACAGATGCTTTCCAAACATTCCCCCATTAAAACCTGTCAAAATGAGTTTGCGGTGACAGTTTGATATCTGATGTATTTTTAAATCTAAAAATGAAGATTTGTTAGTTACTGTCTACAGTTTTGCTGTCGAACTATTTGTATTAAACTTTTTTGGTGCGCCATTAAACCTTGTAAACAGTAAAACTTTGCAATGAAAGGAAAACACATTACTTTTACAATATCTATAAATGCCAAAGTTATGATCTCATACGGTTGATTTTAATTGTTTCTCAAGGCTGTTTTTACTCACTACTGTCTAAATATTGTGTGAAACCCTGTAATGTTAGCTGTTTTACACTACTGTACAAAATAATGTAATACTTCTATTCATCTAGGATGCATTCAATTTAAAAGCAAAAGATTTGCATATAATGCTTCAAAAGATTTTAGGATTCAATTATTATTATTATCATTATCATCAAAGACTCATTTTACGTGGACATCAGTAATATAATTATTTGCCATAATATCAATAAGACAATCATATGATTAAGGTGTTGCTCTTTGGATGTTTTATTCATATTCCCATTTTACATGTTATACCACATAATTCGATTAACGTCATTGCGCTCATGCAATTTCGGGTGTTTCATTTTTCATTAGTCGAATTTAACTGCAGTTTGGCACTTTCACTTTCATTCAGGAACATTTCCAGCATGCCCCCCATGACAAATGAGATATTGGATGGGAGTATGAACTGCTGTTGTTTTAATGGAAGTTTATACCGCACACTATTTGAGGGTAAAAAAAATGCATTCAACAATGCAGGTTTCTGTAGTCCTTTCTGACTTGGCATGTGCAGAGAATAGTGTCAAACAGCTGTGTGTGTATTGAGTATCCTGTCACAAAATTCGGTGGTAATACTTTGATATGTCTGTACTGCACTTCAATAATGTGACTAAAATTGGCGTACTACACATGTCTTAATTCAATTTCTGTTTAGATCGATTATGACTTTAGTCAAATTAAGGTAATGAATAAATAAATAAAAATAAATAAAATTTGCTGTTTAC